TGTCTTGTAGAATTCAGCTGTGAATCCATCCAGACCTGGACTTTTCTTTGCCGGTAGGTTTTTAATTACATCTCGTATTTCATTGGCTGTTATTGCCTTTCCCCCTTTTTTCACAACAGAACTGACCTTTATTTTCACTTTTGTGAAGTTAGTAGTGTATGATACTAGATTGTCTAGCAACTGAGAGCAAACCTTAAGCAGACAGGATGTTCATATCAGGAGTGAGGCAGCTTGTTTGCTTTAAGCTCTGGGCCAAGTCCCACCTTAATATATTTGATTGATTTCCTAGCTTCTTCTTCTTCTTTTTTTTTTTTGGCGGAACTGAGGATTGAACTCAGGCCCTTGCGCTTGCCAGGGAAGCACTTATTCTACTGAGCCATCTCCCCGGCCCCTTCCTAGCTTCTTGACTCCCAACATATCCCCTTTTTTTGTTTTATTTTTTCAGAGATGGGTGTTCCACTGCAGTTAGAGAGGCTGTATTTAGAGAAATCTTTAAAGGGCCTTTTCATAATTCAAACCAGTCTAAAGATTGTAGCTAATTGAATTCAGTAAAATAACCCAATATAGTCCAATAGTTCATAATAGCAGTGGGTTATCAGCAGAACTGACAATTGTCAGAAATTGTTGACTTCAGCCTTTTACAGCTCAACAAATTAATATGGTATTACTTTTTGCACCTTGTGGTTATTCTTTTCTGCTGGATGGTTAAGACCAAGTTAAAGCAACACCTATATAACTAAAAAAGTAGCTTTTGTATCTGACAAGGTCAGTCAAATCCCCTCAGGATTTATGCTGGGACCATGTACAGCAGATTGTAGATCTTTTGTCAGTGTCAGCCATCTGGATGTGTCACTTCAATTGCTTGACCAATTTGTTCTCTGTGAAAGCCTGAGAGAAAGTTTTCTCTCTAGGTGACTCTCCTCAGGCACACTGTACATCATTGATCAGGTCAAGTGTAATGTAAATGAATTGCATCTATTCAGGTTACAACTACTGAATAATTCTTAGGGATGAATTCAGGATGTATCCTTAAATTTAAAGAAAAAAAATTATGGGAATAAGCAATAATTATTTCTTAGGGCAGAACAAGGGAACTCAAATGTATTTTTCCTGTTGAATAAAAGCATATTTCAGCATGTAAAAGGAATAATAGTATGAGCTAATGGTTATGAAATACCCTTTGGAGACAGAAGTTAAAATCCTGGCTCCATACCTAATCAACAGATGACTTTGGGCAAAGTTCAATTTTTATGTATTTATTTATTTATTTGGTACAGGGTTTTGCTACACAGCTTGGACTTGTAGTGATCCTCCTGTCTCAGCCTCCTCAGTGCTGAGATTACAGATGTGCCACCTTGTCCAGTTTTGGTGGCTAGCACAAAGTGTTCCAGGTTCCGGGGCTGGCATGGCATCCCGTACCGGGGAATTGAATCTGGGTCCTGCATTTGCTAGGCAGGCGCTTAGACTACTGAGCTATATCTCCAGCCTGAACTCCACTTTTTTGTCTATGAAATGGGAACAGTAGTATAGCTAACTTGAAGAGGTGTTATGATGATTAAGTAATACTACTTAAGTAAAACACTTAGTAAAGTGCGTGGATCATAGTAAGTGTTTAAGTCTAGTACTGACCTAGTAAAGTAATATGTGCAGTGGTCCAATAAAGACAAGGCATTCATGGTTTCCAACAAATAATTTAAAGGAGTAGTTGGTTGTATTACAGTTGGATTTGTTGCTTAAAAATTAAATTTTACACTTTTTAAATACTGAAAACTTTCATATATGTATGTATGTGTGGTTTATAAGGGTTTAATGGTTGGAAAATCAGCATTTATATAACCTTTAGAATTTTATCATATATAAAACAAGACACACCTGTGTTAAGAAATTATAAATCAAAAGTGATTTTATAGTTTTTTGTTTTCAACTTTTAACATCAAAATAAAGGTAATGTTAGGATACTTGCAACAATGTTCTCTGAACTCTTCTATGAATTTTCTCTAATGTTCTTTAAGGGAAGTGACACTTTATTGACAATTTCAAATTTACTAGTGAAAATTAGTGGCAATATATTCCAAACATTGATGAATTCAGTATAATATTTTAATCTCTGATGCAACTTTCAGTTCTTTTTCTTTGGTGGTGGTTGTGTTGGTGTAGGATGGTGGAAACAGGAGTATGGTTTTCCATGGATGCTTCTAACTGTAAGAAATCCAATTGAATGTACTCAATTTTTTAACATATATGAATACTTTCAGTTTCACCTTGTCATAGGGGGTAATTGTTTACTACTGTGTATAATACTGCATGAACCACTTTTTAATATAAATCTGCCTTTTATTTATTTATTTATTTTTTTAATAGATTGCAAATTGAAAAATTATTTACAAACATAAATGAATATAACAATAAAAATTGTCCAAAATAAAAATGAAGAAAGAATTTACAGATCAGTCATAATAGTTCACTATGTCAAAACAAAGAAACATATAATTAGAATTCTCAAAGTAGAAAGGAGTAGGCAATAAATATTTAAAGATTTAAAATTTCTGAATTTAGTTCAATTTATAATACCATATTTCCAAGAAAAATGAACCTTTTGCACAAGAAATTAAAATAAGATCATACCAAGATACACAAAAATGAAATTGTCTAAAACTTATTGTAAAGAAAAAATCATTAAGGCATATACATAAAAAATATTAGCTATGGAAGAACAAAATTAAATAGTACCTTATTCCACATTAGAAATAAAAAAAGGACCAAGTGTGTAAGAAACTAGACTAATTAAAGGACAGAAAGAAAAGATCTGTCCTCTTTGAATTTTATACTTAGCAAACATACCTTTGAAAACTAAAAGATTTTCTAGTTATACAAACTTGAAATACTTTAATACCCCAGAAGTAGCATTTGGAAAAAACAAAGAGCCTAATTCAAAAGACAAGAGAAGATGCAGTATACTCCTGGATGAACAATAAAGATCTCCCAACATGGTAGTTATGCAGGACTATATAAAAAATATATTAGATGAACCCTTATTTAAAGGTCATTGCAGATGTCTATGAAACAGTACCAATCTTATGTTGGGTTATACACGTATTTTTTTCATATATGTGTGTGTGTGTATAAAAGACAGGGAAGAAGTAATATAAAGTCAACAGAAAATGGAAATATACTTTTTAAAGTTTCTAATACTAGGAGAAGGCCGGGGATATGGCTCAGTGGAATAAGCGCTTCCCTGGCAAGTGCAAGGGCCTGAGTTCAATCCCCGGTTCCGAAAAAAAAAAAAACAAAAAAAACCGAAAAACAAAAAAACTAGGAGAAGATATCATACAATGTCTTTTAAATAAATTGTAGGTCAAAGATATAGTATAAATCTTAGAACAAAAATTAAGATTAAGCAATATTCAGAAAATTAAATACTAATTAATTAAAAACTAAATGTTTCAAAACAATTGAAGAAAAGATTTTCATGATAGCAAAGAAGTATTAAGAGTAAAACATAAGATAAATACTGGAATGGCAAATAAATGAACAGCATTTCCAACAGCTTGATGGTAGGATATGACACAAAGTTCTAGTGTGTTGTGGACATGCATAATGACCGTGACAGTTACTGGTGACCAGACATCACTTTTGGGCTGAGCTACAGCTATTTCTTTGAAATCTACCCTGTAGACTCAGGTGGAATCATGACCCATAGGGTGGAAGAGAAGTCCATTTGTAGAGTGTGCTGATGGAAATATTTTACTGCTGAACACAAAATAATAACTGAAAGACTGCTATTATATACCTCTTATTCTCCTGTGTTTGTTTGCCCTGTTTGGTGGGTTCTTTCCATTCTCATTCATGGTGCTGTGATCAATTTGCCCCCTCTCTAGAACATCATTTAGTAGTCTGTGTAGGCTTGGCTTTGTCATCATGAAATTCTTTAGTTGTTCTTTGTCATGGAAGTATTTCACTTCTCCAT